TAATATTGGGGAGGGATATCTACACTGATAGATCTTGTTCTTACTTCCACTACACGACTCAATGGTCCTTTTGTTACTACAGTCATTGCCCAGAGATTTATTAGTAGTTTTAAAGTTAATAGCAAGGGGTCTTAGAAACACATAAATTAATAATGTCGATTACTAAACCCGCAATACATGTACATGTAAAAATGACTTGTTTGAAGATATACATGTACAAGTACATGTACAAGCACTATAGCTGTATTAACTATTATTTATTTATTGATAGGTCAGAATCACCTCCTCCTTCACATTCTCCTCCTCCTCCTCTCTCTCCTGCCACTACCCCTCCTCCTTCTCCTCCCCCTTCCTCACCTCCCCCTCCCCTCCCCACGGCATCAAAAACTCCGTCTTCATCAAGAACTCAGCCTGCATCAAGAACTCAGTCTTCATTGATTAATAATCCAAAACCTTCTCCTCCTCCTCCTCCTGTTAGTACCACTCCTCCAGTTCATGAGGTAACTGGTTTATCTGCTAATAAAACCAGTTCAACCGGTTATACTAGTTCTCTGCCCACTCATTCTAACGAACCCACTACTGGTTTTCATGTTGCCGATATCAAAGTGAGTACATGTACATGCACACAGTGTATAATGTTTACATGTACATGTATGTTTTATGCGGCTCAAAATTCATGTACATGTACAGTATTTAATTGATAAGAAAGATTTAATGTTGTAACATAAAATGAAAATCCTCTTTTAAAATAACTAGGAACCGTAACAGTAATTGGTTTTGACTGTAACTGTGGACACATTCTGGAGTTGCTATTTCATGTACATGTACATGATGTTACTATTATGTGTTGTTGTAATGTGTCGTAGTATTGACCTAAATGGTTTTGGTAATGTTTCTGACAGACCCACACATTGTTTGGTTAATCATTAATGTTTTGTAAAAAGACACGAAGCAGGGCCAGTTATGTTAGTAGCCCTTCCAAAAATTGTTCTATTCTACTGAAGATACAAGAATGACAAGTATAAGTGTCCTTTTATACTGCTGGT